TATATATAAGATATATATCTTAGATATATATATATATATCTTAAAAGTATCTTGACTTCAGAATTTGGGTCTAAGGATATGTTGATTATTTCAGGGCTGTGAAGCCAGGAACCAACAAGCGGCTTCAACAGAGAGCCCCTACTGGAACAAAGGTCATACTAGCCACCAGAAGTCCAGCCTCCCACTCAAACAGAGACTTCCTACTGCCATACTACCTGCCAGAAATCCGGGCCACAAAGACCAAAAGACCAAAGAGGAAACAGAAACCAAGGAGCAAAACACCCATTCAGCAAAGACAAACCCTGAAAGTGTCACCTAGTCCTATAATCACTCCAAAAACCCAGATGCCTAGACGCCAGTGTAAGAACACAACAGCCAGGGAAATACGTCACCACCAGAACCCAGCTATCCTACTGCAGCAAGTCCTGAATATCCCAGCACAACTGAAGCGCAAGAAAACGACCTTAAAACCAACTTTATGAAAATGAATAAATCCTTTAAATTTCCAGAAAAACAGAAACAAATAATTGGAGGAAATGAATATATCACTCAAGGAAAGCCAAGAAAACACAAACAATTAGAGAAAATGAATAAACCCCTTAAAGAAAGCCAAGCAAAATCAAACAAAAAAAAAAATGAAGAAAATGAATTAAAATGAATTAAACCATTCCAGCCCTGAAAATGGAAATAAAGAAAACACAAACTGGGGCTGGAGAGATAGCTCAGCAGTTAAGACCACTGGCTGCTCTTCCAGAAGTCCTGAGTTCAATTCCCAGCAACCACATGATGGCTCACAACCATCTCTAGTGGAATCTAATGCCCATTGTGGTATAAAGTCTTACATGCAGATAGAACACCCATATACATAAAATAAGTTGATCTTTTTAAAATAAAAAATACAAACTGAGGGAATTCTGGAAATTCAAAATCTAGGTAAGTGAACAGGAACTACAAATGCAAGCATAACCAACAGAATACATATGATGGAAGAGAGAATCTCAGGCATTAAAGACATCATAGAAAAAATAGATAAATCAGTCAAAGAATATGGTAAATCTAAAATATTCCTGACATAAAATATCCAGGAAATCTAGGACATTAGGGAAAGACTAAACCTAATAATAACAGGAACAGGAGAAATAGAAGAGCCCCAGCTTAGAGGCTCAGAAAATATTTTTTTAAAAATCATAGAAGAAAATTTTCCTAACAGAAAGAAGGACATGCCTATAACAGTACAGGAAACTTACAGAACATCAAATACATTGGATCAAAAAGGGAAGCCCCCTTGTGACATAATAATAAAAACACTAAACATACAAAACAAAGAAAAGGCTGCAAGGGGAAAGGGCCAAATAATATATAAAGGCAGACCTACTATAATTACACCCAACTTCTCAGTGGCGACTCTAAAAGCCAGACAAGCCTGGACAGATGTCTTGCAGACTCTAAGAGACCACAGATGCCACTCCAGACTACTATACCCAGCAAATTTTTCAATCATCATAGATGGAGAAAACAAGCAAGATATCCCATGACAAAGTCAAATCTAAATAAGCCCAACCCTACAGAAGTAATAGAAGAAAACCCCAACCCAAGGAGTAAACTAGATCCAAGAAACAAAGGAAATAAATAATCTTACACTAGCAAAACCAAAAGAAGCATGCAAGCGTTAGCACACACATGCACACACACACACACACACACACACATACACACACACACAATCAACAAAAAATAACAGGATATAGCAATCATTGGTCATTAATATTTATCAATATCAATGGACTCAATTCCCCAATAAAAAGACACAAACTAACAAAATGAATGCAAACACAGGATCTGTCCTTCTGTTCCATACAAGAAACACACATCAACATCAAAGATAAAACCCCAGCCTGGTCTACATAGTAGTACATTTACACAATGAAGTATTACTCAGCTGTTAAAAAAAAATAAAACCATGAAATTTGCAGGCAAATGAATGTAGCTAGAAAAGATCATCCTGAATGAGGTGACCCACACCCAGAGAGACAAACATGCTATGTACTCGCTTATAAGTTGATACTAGCTGTAAAGAAAAGATAATAATGCTACAATCAATAGACCCAGAGAAGTTAAGTAACAAGGGGGGCTGAAGAAGAGAAGCATGAGTTTCCCTGGTAAGAGGAAACAGAATAGATCTTAAGGGTGGACTTGGGGTGAGCGGGGATGGGAACAGGAGGGATCAGGTTGGGGGGGATGAAGTAAGGGAGTACTGGGAGAGATGACTGGAATTGGGAACACTTCAGGGGCAAGGTAGGAACCTAGTGCAATCAAAGACTCTAAGTAATGGGGGATACGGAGCCTGAACCAGCCATCTTTTGTAACCAGACAAGTCTTCAAATGCTGGAACTGGAACACCAACTCAGCCACAAAACCTTTGACCTACAGTTTGTCCTATCTGCCTGACACTGCCTGGAAAGCCAGCACCCAGAGGCTGAACTGCCCAGAGACCTGGAATAGAACCAAACACAACTGGCAAAAGAGAAAAAAAATGTTAATGAAATGATTCCTAATGATACCCTGCTGGACTCATAGACTGGATACTAGCATAATAGTCATCAGAAAGGCTTCCTTCAGCAACTGATGGGAGCAGATGCAAAAACCCATAGCCAAACATTAAGGTGAAGCTCAAGGAATCCCATGGAAGAGGGGACAGGAAGAATTGTAGAAGCCAGAGGGATCAAGAATACCACAAGAAAACCCACAGAATCAACTCACCTAGGCTCATAGGGGCTCACAGGGGCTGAAAGGACAATCAGACTTGTACGGGTCTGACCTAGGTCCTCTGCATATATACTTGGTGTTCTTGTAGGATTCCTAACAGTGGGATCAGAGTCTGTCTCTGAGTCTTTTGCCTGCTTTCGGTACCCCTTTCTTCCCACTGGTTTCCTTTATCCAGCCTTAATATGAAGGTATGTGTTTAGTCTTATTGAAACTTGATATACCATGTTTAGTTTATAGCTCTCTGAAGCCTGCTCCTTTCTGAAGGATAATAGAGGAATAAGAGTGGATCGAGGGTAAAGGGGAGGTGAAAGAGAGGGATTGGGAGGAGAGGAAGTAGGGGAAGCTGCATTCAGGATGTAATATATTAGAGAATATAAAAATATCACTAGGGCAAAAAAAAGTCTGGGCATGTCAGAAGGCAGAGGCAGGTGTATCTCTGTGAGTTTGAGGTCAGACTGGTCTACATAGTGAGTTTCTGAACAGCAAGAACTATATAGAGAGACCCTGTCTCCAAAAAAAATTAAAAAAGAATAGCATTGGGAGTACAAAGATGCCTCAGTGGTTAAGAGCACTTGTTGCTCTTGCAGAGAACCCTGATTCAGTTCCCAGCATCCACATGGTGCCTCACAACCATGGGTTCCTTTGGTTCCAAGTGATCCAATGATTTCTTACCTCCACAGGCCCCAAACATGCACATGATGCCCATACATACATACATACATACATGCATGCATGCAGGGAAAGCACTCATGCACATAAAAGAAACAGATTTTTTTAAAAAAAATAGTACTAATACTGAAAATAGTACTATGATTATAAGTTTGAGTAGTATGATTATAAGTAGATTTAAGAGTAACACTAAACCATACCTGTCCGGTGAAACATCGTGTGTATGTTTGCACCCTTCTCTATTAAGAGTTCTACAATCTGGTCTTTGTTTTGCTGTAGAGCAAGTAAAAGTGGTGTGAAGCCATCCTGATGGGGAAAAAACAAACAATTTACAGCATATTAAATGATGTATTTCTCAACTGAATCATTTAAGAATGTTACAAATATAAAAAGTATAAATTTTTTTGAATGTTACAAACATAAATAGCACAGTGAGGAAATAAACTGGTGACTCTTCCTCGGCTCCCAGCTGCACGCCACAGGTTGTTCCTCCCCTTTGAAACCTCTCTAAAATTTGTTCCAGCCACTGGTGCCAAGAATCTTCACTTTAGTGTGGCTGTATGGTTTTTCTCAATTAAAACAAAAGCTTCTTGTGGGCAGGGACACTATGTTTTATCTCCATAGTTCCTATTCTAAAATATGGTTGCTGTGGACTATTAGATTAAGATGTGTGACATTCATTTATGCTGTGGGATATTTGTTTAATGTGTGTTGAATCCTTTTATGTTGCATTTGTTTAACTCTGTAAAACAGACTGTCTGCCTAAAATAACTGATTGGTCTAATAAAGAGCTGAACAGCCAATAGCTAGGCAGGAGAGAGAAATAGGTAAGGCTGCCAGGCAGAGAGAATAAATGGAGAAATCTAGGAACTGAACAAGGAGGAAAAAAGAAGAAAAGGATGCAGGGGCCAGCCACCCAGTCAGCCACAGAGTAAGAAGAAAAGAAAGATATATTGAATAAAGAAAGGTAAAGCCCAGAGGCAAAACAGAGTTAAAGAGAAATGGGATAATTTACATTAGAGAAGCTGGCTAGAAACAAGCCAAGGCTGGGCATTCATAAGTAAGAATAAGTCTCGTGTACTTATTTAGGAGCTGGGTGGCAGGCCCCCAAAGATTAAAAAACACAACTACACATGGTAGTAAAGATTTTACTTCTTTTGGATGAATGAGCTAAATTGGCATTTCCAGAGCAGGGATTCTCAATTGGCATTTCATAAAATATTTAACTTTTCCAGACGCACCACAGAGACTTAAATATTGCATTATTACTATGATTGTAGGTTCAGTATTAAGTCTCCTTGACTTAAACTCATGCTTGATAGCACTTTTGTGAAGAACATTCACACTCGAGGAAGGGCCTCAGGGATATAGTGGTCACAGTTTTCCGGAAATGTGAATGTTTGAACCAGGTTACAGATGAAGGTCACGGAGTCTCTTCTATTTAAGGTAGCGGAAACAAGGTGCAGTTGTCAGGTGTTCCTGCTCCAAATGGACCCTTCAGAAAAATGCTCTGGGGCTGGAGAGATGGCTCAGTGGTTAAGAGCATTGGCTGCTCTTCCAGAGGTCCTGAGTTCAATTCTCAGCAGCCACATTGCAGCTCACATCCATCTATAATGAGGTCTGATATCCTCTTTCAGGCATGCAAGCATACATTTAAAAAAAAAAAGAAAGAAAGAAAGAAATTGCTCTGGATTAAAAGACAATTCAAGGGTTGGAGAGATGGCTCAGAGGTTAAGAGCATTGCCTGCTCTTGCAAAGGTCCTGAGTTCAATTTCCAGCAACCACATGGTGGCTCACAACCATCTGTAATGAGGTCTGCTTCCCTCTTCTGGCCTGCAGCATACACACAGACAGAATATTGTATACATAATAAATAAATAAATAAATATTTTTTTTAAAAAAGACAATTCAATTAAGTTTCATGGTTTATTGAAAGATTTGTATATTAGCAGTTAACAAAAACTTACTACAAATTTTTATTCTCACATATAACAATAATACAATACCAACATGAAAATCTACAATTTAGTAACAAAAGTTATTTTTTTATTTTAGGGAAAATATAAACCAGAAATCAATATATACCAGTTAATCAATAAGAATTCTAATAGTGATCTGTGAGTGGTCAGATTAGCTGGAAGAGAGTAGGAGGCCACATGAGAAGTTACTAAAGGCCCAGTTCCCCTTGAGTCCATGGAGGAAGGAGCTGAGTTTCTAGGGCTGCAAGAGTGGGTGGCTCTCTGTTTGGATTAACATACGAGGTTATCTCTAGGCTCCTTTGTAAGTCAATAATTAAGAGTTCTGTCTCCCAAACTAAAGATCATTTTCATCTGCTCATATAAACCTGGGATAATTAAACACAATGTCTCTTTGTACTTCCCTCCCATATTTCCCTGCATGCCTCCAATTACAACTCTATTCCCATTTTCTCTGTTTCAGCCTCATTTCTGAGAGACAAACATGTTTGTATAATATATTAACAGCAACACAATTTCCAGGTACAAAATCCTCTTTTTCAGTTGTAAAACCCAATTATTAACAAATGCTTTGCTTTCTCCTGTCGTTTTACATTAATTCAAAAGAAGCTTTTGGTGAAAACAGATAAGAAAAATATTTTTTACCTTTAACGAATTCGGTGTTCCTTCAACTCTTTGCCATGCATAGAAAAAACTCTGTGGCCTCTAAAAAGCCTTTGAAAACATCCATACCTTTAATGCCTTTGATGATTAACTCCCGACAGAGCATCCATTCAGTAAATGCCCGCACTTCTGTGCTGAAACACAGAGTCACTCCTGTCGACATTTTATAAAACACTGTATTAGAGGTGGATGGGAAATAAAAGTGAACGTTTTACCTTTGTTTTAGCTTCGATGTTTGCACCATGTTCAAGGAGCTGGGAGGCTATGGCTGTGTTTTCATTGTGCACTGCATAGTGGAGGGCAGTGTTCCCACGAGCATCCACAGCGTTCGCTTCCGCACCCTGCTGCAGTAAGAGAACCACACATTCTTCATGCTGGTGCTGTGAGGCCTGTGGAGGTTCCATCAATAAATAAGCCAACTAAAGCTAAGCACACCGCAACTTTTATCACTTACTTGCCATAAAATGAGATGCATTCACTTTTTTTCTCAGAAAAAAAAAATCTTACGTTTTGAGACTAGGTCACTTATGCAGCTCAGCCTTGCCTGAATTCAAAATCCTCCTGCCTGAGTCTCCCAACTTTTAGGATTACAGGTGTGTGTCAACACACCAGATAATACAAGCACTTTTGAAATATTTTTTAATTCTTCAAGAATTTCATACAATATATATATTGATCATATTCACCCCAGCTCCTCCCAGATCCAGTCCCACCTTCCTATACTTCCCAACTTAATGTCTTCTTTAAAAGACAATAACAAATAATTCACCGATTCTAATTTGTTCTGCCCATATATTCCTGATGTGGGATCATCTACTGGGATGTGGTCGACCTACTAGTAGCCGATACCCTTAGAGAAAGCTGACTCTCCCTCCCCCAGAAGCCACCAACTACTGTAAGCTCCCTAAGTTAGAGATGGAGCTCATGAACCCCTTTCCTTCTCGGTGCTAGAGAGGTTTGATCTTTTTGTTCGGGTCTTGCGCAGGGAATCCTAGCTGCTGTGGGTTCCCCCTAGTCCTCTCTGACCTCTGGCTCCCACAGTCTTTCAGTGTGGGGAGTCAGACCTACCCAAGACTTCCTCGGAGACCCTGATGGAAAGACAAAGGGAACTTTAGTTCTGTACTCTTGTTCCAAAGCAGACTTGACAAGGCAATCAAGGAATAGAGTCAGCGCCTCAAAAGAATCAAAATCTCAGCTTTGGGGACCTGACTCTTACCCCTGGGCTGTGATTATTTGTGTCTGAGGTAGCCCATGTTCTCTTTGCTAACACTGACTTACTTCTTGATGACCTTGGCTGTTTTCCCCTTGAAGAATAGCATGTATGAGGCTGTACTTAATAAACTTGCCTGGCATAAATCATCAGCTTATGCAAGACCTCCTGGTCTCAGTTACTGCTTTTGCCATATTTCTCATCCCCACTCTTCCTACTCAATACCTCTCCATTTGGGACCCTTATCCCCACTGGTTTGCCTTGTTCCTGCCTTCTGTCTTGTAATGGTCCCTGAGCCTTTTGGGAAATGATACAACACAGAAGTTCTGTTTGTGACTGAGCACTCCACAGACGCTTCTGTGTTTAGACAAGCCGTGAGCTCCTGTGTTAACCATTACCCAGCGTACAAGTCCAAGAATTCAAGTGTAATCCCTCTCATACTAAAATGATCTGTATACCTACCTTAATTAGAGGTGTGCAGTTGTCATCATCACAGGCATTAATGTCACAGTTCCATTCTATTAGAAGAGTTACCACCCCCAGCTGGCCATGTGCACACGCATAGTGCAGTGCAGTTCTGTGAAAATAAGAGAACCTTTCAGAAAATAGTGGAGACCTATGTCAGAGCTCATTTATCCATATAATTTTTAAAATTAAATAATGCCTAATTGATTTTTTTTTCCTGAAGGACAGTGATTTCTTTCTTCATTTCTTTCAGTTCTAGGGACATAAGACAAGGCCCGCCCCATTCAGGGCAAGTGCTCTATCATGACAACATTCATGCATGGAGTAGCCTGTTTGAATAAAAGAAGAAAGCCCAGTAGATTTAATTCAGCTTGGATTTGTGTCTTACTCTAATCTGTTGCCTGTTACGGCTTTCTGTGAGCGCCATAACTCAATTTCCTCATCTACATGATGGGTACTAAACATAGCATCTACCTTCCCTGGCACTGCTACACTGCTTCAATTTTAATTCTGTACAAAGCATGAACAAGTGTTTCCAGCACCTGACAGCTCAGTATTTGGTGGATGCAATAAAGATTAATATTCCTACTGCTAGCAAATACTGCATTTCAATAAAGTGAAATAATAAATTGTACCTACTATGTAGACATGCAGACATATAAAGATTGTGTGTGTGTGTGTGTGTGTATGTGTGTATGTTTATTTTACTTAGTGTGTAAAGGTCAGAGGACAACTCGTGGAAGTCAATTCTCGTGCACTATGTAGCTCCCAGGAAAGGGGCTCAACTTGTCAGGGTTGGCAGCAATCACCTCTAGTTGCTGAATCAATCTCCTGTGCTCAAAGATTACATATTTAGATAAGTGTATTTTTAAGAGCAGAAGACTCCAGTATGTTGTTCAGATGGGAATGATCTTGAAGGCTCCCATAGTGTGGTCTTTAATTCACAGTTTAGTATCTATGACATCGGAATTCCATTTACAATGTGTGATATTTATAACTAACAGCATTTTTCAATTTTTCTTAGCATACAAAACAAAAATTGAACACACCCTCCCTCACAAAACCTTATTCATTGGTATCAGGCATCATGGATTGTATGCTGACACAAAAGAAAATAAATATTCCCAGGTCTTCTCCCAGTTCTACTCATGAATGGTAGACATGATGTAACCTGGGCTATTTTCTATACCATGCCCATACCAAGAGTGCCCAGATACCTCAACTTTAAACTACACTTAATACATAAGACAACCTTAAGGAGTATTCAAATTCTCAAGTCTTCCCCAAAATTCTCCTCCTGGAACTGGTGGATACGATTTGACCTAGCTGTTTAGGTTTGGGAGAAATTTCAGGCCTAGGAGTTGAGGGCTTTTAGTTAATCCGCTCTCTACAGTAGAAGTGAAAAAGCAGAACCTCACTAGCCTTTCCTTGGTGAGCACATTGGACAGTAGATCTCTACTACTTGCCGCCTCCCTCTCACCACCACACGTTGGGAGTTGATCACTTGAACACTAATCCCTCCATTGTACAGCAAAACTCTCCCAAGTCGGCCCCGCCTGTCACCAACAGTCCCTTCATCTTCTGCTATTATTCACTCCCAAGTTTGATTACCTGTTCTTCTTGTCTGTGTCATTCACACCGTTTACCCCGTTTGTGAGGAAACGCTCCACAGTATCTACAGCGCCGACACTCGCAGCCTGATGGATCTGCCCTACCGCGCAGTACCCGCTGAGGTATCTGGGCACTGGCGGGCTATCACCACCAGCACATCCAAAGCCCAGGCAGGCAGTCCACAGGCGGGTAGAGGAACGGCCAGGCGCCTGGCCCGTCTTCCTAGACCAAATGTTCCTCCTCATAGCGAGGCCACTAGGTTGGTGGGTCAGTGTAGGTCAGCCACCCATTCTGTGGCTAGGCAGTGTGGTCAGCCACCCATTCTGTGGACAGGTGCGTGTTCACGGGTGCACATCTCAGCAAGGTTTCCAACCAAGAACGCTTGCAGTTCTGCTTCTGCCAACTGCGTACCTAGCCGCTGAACTCAAGTTCACTCTTAAGTGTGCGCGTGCACACCTCAACGACTGTTCCAGCAAGAAAGGGTTCAGTTTCTGCAATGCCCCTAAAGGCAACTTATAGAGGACCTGCCTCAGACAGGAGCCTAGCCAACCTTGCACCCTGCCTTGTCTATCGCATCCACCAGCCGACCTGTGTGGCCTTTGGTAATGACTGGGGTCCTTCACAACACGACAGTTCTCTCGCCTGCCCCAAACAAGCGATTCCAAGTTAACAGTGCAGCCCTGTGCTTCAAAATGACATTTGTTATTTACTACTCCAGAATAAACCAACTCTTGGGAGATGGAAACAGGAAGATCAGGAGTTGTCCTTCACTACATACGAGTTCAAGGCCAGCCTGGGACACATGAAAAACACCCTGACCCTGACTTTACCCCAGGTCCAGGGCTTAAAATCGCACCAATTCCTGAGTTTGCTACAAAGTCAGGTCCCACAATCCCTCAGCACAGAATCCTACCAATCCCTGAGGTCCCTGTGCTCGAAATGCCACCAATCCTTGAACAAAGGAAATGCCACCAATCCCTGAGCTTGCCACAGAATCAGACCACCAAACTCCACCAATCCCAAACAACCCTAGAAAACTCTGTTCCCCCATCCCAAGAAATCCTATATAAAGTCCGTACCCTATTTAGTTTGCTGCTGTTTCTCACTGGAGGATTCTTCTTTCTTGGCTGAGGTTTGTTATGCTGTTTGACATTTTCTCTAGAGCAGAGTCCAGCTATAACAACTTTCTCCTGAGTTGAGTGGAGCAGATCAGAACTGTAACATTTTTCTCAGGGGAAACCTTCCCTGACAGAGCAGAGTTGTTTTCCTGGAGCAGAATTGTAAACTGGTATGCTTACAATGGCCTGGTTGTATTCCTTGGCTACCAACTTCCAGGACATTTTTCCATTTGAGCTTCAATGCTTACAAAAATTATGTTGGGAAAGGAAATATTGGTTGGCTGGAGTGAATTCTGCCCCCCGCCCCACCCAAAAGTTGGAGAAGCAAAAGAGGTGTTTGTTAAGACAATAAATTTCCATGTTGTGTAATTGACATTTTATGAATTATTATATCATTATGACATAATATTATCATATAATAAATTCAAACTGATTTTTTTCTTTTTAGCATTTCATTTTTCTGTATGGTTTACATGGGATGTTTTCAGAAGTAAAATGATTTAAGCCAACATACTTATTTATTTCCCTCTATAATGTAGACATTTTTAAAAATGGATGACCTTTTTCTGCCTTTTGTTATTGGTTTTTATCTGTAGGAGGGTTTTTTCTGTCTCTCCTGTCATCTTGGAGACTTGAAACATGGAGACTGGAAAACTCAGCCAATAGCTTAGACTTGTTTCTAACTAGCTCTTATAACTTCAATCGACCCATTTCTATGAATTTACTTTCTGTCGAATGGCTTTACTGCTTTTACTCTGCACTGTCCATGCTGCTTCCTCTGAATCCTGCCATCTCCTCTCAACTCTGCCCTTTTTCTTCACGGCACTCTCTCTGCCCTGAAAATTCTAACTATTGGCCTTTCAGTTTTTTATTAAACTAATCCTAATGACAAAACTTTATATACAAAAAGATTATTCCACAACAATTTTTTGCTGTTTTGTTGGAGGTTTTGATTATGTTTTGTTTCGTTTGTTTTTGTTTTTATTTTGTTTTTTTGAGACAAATTCTTGAATTCAATGCGTAGCCCAGGCTGGTCTGAAACTTTTGGCAGTCCTCTGGCCTCAGCCTCCCATATGCTATGTTTATAAACATACACCACTATGCATGCCTTTTTACCCTCTGGAACTAGGGCTGTGCCTTATACTTGGTGGACAAGTACTAAGCTACTAAACCACACTTTTAGTAAGTACCCTTATGAAAATTTTGTAATCATGCACTTAGGAGGCAGAAACAGGCAAATCTTTGAGTTCAAATCCTGTCTGGTCTATAGAGTGAATTCCAGGCCAGTCAGGGTAACACATAGAAACCCTGCTTAGTGTTGGGGATTGGGCTGACAAAGAAATTTACTTTCTCAGATAACTTTGAGTAAATTACATTAAAATCTGTAGTCTTAGCTCTGAAGAGGCAAAGGTGAGATCAATGCAAATCTAAAGTCAGCCTGGTCTCCATAGCATGTTCCCAGTGTCTCACAGTACTGAAGACAGAGAAAGAATTCAAAATACCATTGTGCTTAGGAATTTTTGTTTACTTGCTTGCTTTGTTTCAAGACAGTGTTTCTCTGTGTAACCTTAGCTGTCTAGAACTCGCTCTGTAGACCAAGCTGGCCTCAAACTCAGAAATGCACCAGCCTCTGTCTCCCAAGTAGCAACTTGTATTAATGAGCCTGTTATTTCTAACTGTAGTCTCTCTTTGCCTGTATTTGAATATGTCAGTGACAGAAACAGTAGTTAGTTAGTTATTTTCATCTCAAATCTCAATAAATGTTTTGGGGTTGAGTGTTGGAAAGGTAAATTTGTAGCCACTTAAAAATATTTATAGTTTGATATGAAATGAACTTTTTGACTATGATCTAAACCCATTTCATATTGCCCTTAAATTTTTATTTTCTTCAATTTTTACTTCCACCCTTTTGATGTATGTGTGCCTGATGGTGTTGTGGGTACAACATGTACAAGTGTGTATATATGTGGGTGAAGAACAGAGGACATCTGTCTTAGTTAGGTTTTCTAATGCAGTGATGAAACACCGTGACCAAAAGGCAAGCTAGGAGGAAAAGGGTTTATTTGGCTTATACTTCAGCATTGCTGCTCATCACTGAAGGAAGTCAGGAAAGAAACTCAAACAGGGCAGGATCCTAGAGACAAAAACTGATGCAGAGGCCATGGAGGGGAACTGCTTACTGACCTGCTTCTCATAGCTTGTTCTTCTTACCTTCTTATAGAACCCAAGACCTGCAGTCCTGGGATGGCACCACCCACCATGGACTGGGCCCTCCCCCACTGATCACCAATTGAGAAAATGCCTTACAGTTCAATCTCAAGGAGACATTTCCTCAGCTAAGGCTTCTTCCTCTCTTGTGACTTTAGCTGTGTCAAGTTGACCCAAAATCATCCAATCAGCAAATTTATGTGTCATCCTCAGGAATGTCACCTCCTTTGAGAAAGGATCTCTCACTGGTCTGGGACGCCTCAATTAGGCTAGACTGGCTTGCCAGTGAACCTTAGGTATCCTGTTTCCTCCTTCCCCAGTTCTGGGATTATAAATGCGCATCAGCATATCTGGCATTTTTTTTCTTTATATATTTTTTAATTTTTTTTAATTTATTAAAAATTTCCACCTCCTCCCCACCTCCCTTTCCCTCCCCTCCCCACCTCCCCCTCCCTCTCTAGCCTTAAGAGCAGTCAGGGTTCCCTGCCCCGTGGGAAGTCCAAGGTCCTCCCCCTTCCATCCAGGTCTATAAAGGTGAGCATCCAAACAAACCAGGCTCCCACAAAGTCAGTCCATGCAGTAGAATAAAAATCCAGTGCCATTGTCCTTGGCTTCTCAGTCAGCTTTCATTGTATCTGGCATTTTTATATGGATTCTAGGGGTTGCATTTATGTCCTCTGTTTGCTAAATATTGACTGAGTCACCCCCTCCATCCCTACTTCTATGTTTTGAGTTAAGAGTATTGACTACTGGGTATTTGTCAACAGTTTAAATCCTCTTCTGCAATGTAAGTGGTTGTGTTTAGAATCATCAGCTCATGTGTGTGTGTGTGTGTGTGTGTGTGTGTGTGTGTATCTTTCTGCATCAGCCTTTCTGTTTTGTGTTATCCTAATTTGTCTACATTATCTATGGTCTGATACGTTACCAGACTAATTCTTCCCATTTCTGGGGATAATTTCTAAATAAGTACTTAAATATTAAAAAAATATAAGAAACACAAAACATGTTGGTCAACCATCAAACATTCTTTTCAGAACTCTCTCAGTCAAGTGGTTTTTCACTTCTTCAGTGCAACCAGGTAGCAAATAATCTCAAGAAGGAGTTACTTTCTTCTTAAAACCTTGTGACCTCTAGTAATTTCCAGTCCAGCTAGACTATAAGCCTAGAACGCCCAGAAAATCTGAACAAAACCCTCCAGAGCAAGGCTGAGTAAACTCAAGCACCCATTAAGACACATATCAAAACTTACTCTAGATTCAGGATGAGTAAGACCCAAGAAAGCAGAGAAGATGTACACGGGGCACCCATTTCTGTCTTTGAATCTCTATCCACCCAACTGCTGTGTGAGAGTTTCTCTATTGTCTACCCTCTACAGAATAAAAGTAGAAAATGCAAGCATCCATTTGATTTGAGATATATGATCAGATTGTGAACCCCAAGTTTTTGTTTGTATTAATTAAATAAAATCAACCTTGGGTCAGGATGCCAAACCAGCAACTAGTTGAGAGAAAGCAATCACAGAGTCAGAGGGAATCTGGGAAACTGGTAGAGAGACACACAGGAAGTAGTGGGGAGGGATTTTGAGTATGGTGGTCCTTTTTGGTTTGAAGTGATGGAAGAGAAGCACTCTTTCTGAAACACTGGGCAAGAGGGAAGGTCAGCTAGCTGCTCCTCAACCTCTCTGAGCTAGCCAGTTTTCACCCCTGCCTCTGACTCCCAAGTCTTTATTGGTAAATAGGACAGTAGAGATTTAGTTAAAAACTACATTTGGTGCTGGGCGCTAGGCACTTGTGGTGCACACCTTTAATATCAGCACTTGGGAGGCAGATGCAAGAGTGTCTCAGTGAGTTCGAGGCCAGCCTGGTCTACCAAGCAAGTTCCAGGACAGCCAGAACTGTTACACAGAGGAACCAAGTCTCAGAATATATATATATATATATTTGGGAGGCTGGAGAGATGGCTCGAAGATTAAGAGCACTGCCTGCTCTTCCAAAGGTCCTGAGTTCAATTCCTAGAATCCACATGGTGGCTCACAAACACCCTAATGAGATCTGGTGCCCTCTTCTGGCCCGCAGAGACACATACAGGCAGAACTCTGTATAC